GAGAGCTAGGTAGGCTGCTAGGCCAGAAGTTATTGTTGAAGCAATAAGGAAGAATTAGGCAGATGGCATAAAATAGTGAAGGGTTTTATAAAATGGCATTATTAATGATTTTATCTCTGAAACTTACAGTTCTAAATATTTCCCTCTTCATATCTTGATTCCTGCCCCATTTGGTCTTCTGGCTGGATCTGTTTGCTTGTCCTTTTGCCCCAGGTTTTCTACCCTAAGCTCCTTTTACTCTTAGATAATGTAGGGTGTCTATCCATCTTTGAAAGCAAGTAACTGAATAATCTTTTTTCAAATGACTGGATGACTGTATCACAACTTTTCTCTCACTTGCTTTTTCAGCTCGTGTAGCTGTGGCTCAAAGCACACTTAATCTTTTTGCAAACCGTGATGTGGAGCTAGAGCAGAGAGCCATGCTTCTCAAAAGATTAGCATTTGCTATTTTTAGCAGTGAAGTTGACCAGTACCAGAAATATCTTCCAGATATACAAGGTAAGTAGTGAATAACTTTTAAGTTGGAGTGAAATATGCAAAATGGAAGTCAATGGAGAATGCTGTAGAATTAGACATCTGTTTTACAACAAAATTATCCCCATTATGTAAAAGAAATAAACACTGAATTTTTAGGGCTTGCTAAAACAAATTTCCTGGGAATTCATGTTTGAGGATGAGGTATAAGACTGTTTTGCTACAGGCAGGCATTTTAGCCGTTCTTTATTGTGGATATAGTGTTAGATACCCTCACTGAGAGGACCAAAATGTTGGCAAAACCAGGAAATTTGCCTGAAGTAGCATTTGGAGGTCTACTTGGTAGCATTTGGGACCAGGATTGGGGAGTGTACCATACAGTAAATCCTCACCTAACCATCACTGATAGGTTCTCAGAAATTTCAAGTAAAATGACAAAACCAGCAAAATGTATCAAAACCAAATGCTCTAGTGCTGTAATTTCCTCCAATATGGCCTGGATTCTTTTTTTCTTATCAACACTATGATAATAAAATGACACTGATATAATGAAACAATATTGAATGAAAAGATGTTATCTGTCTTTGATTTTTTTTTTTTAATTAACTAGGTCAGTGCTATATAATGTAGCCCATGAACCATTACTACTCTGTTACCACATCCATGATAGATACAGAAATTTAGAGTAAGAAATTTAATCTTCTATGGTAATTTGACAGACTACATTGAATCTAGTAATAAAATGACACCCATATATATCTTTAACTTGATTTTTCTGGTAATTCATTTTTACCCTATATTACAAAAGTATCAATCTGCAGCAGATTGAAATTTTTTTTAAAAGCTAGTCCTTCACCACAGAGTTTGAGAAGTACAAGAATAGATTATATTTAAAAGTCAAATTATTTAGATATTGAAAACACACTGCGTTTCTTTCAGAGAGATTGGTTGAGAGTCTCCGTTTGCCCCAGGTGCCAACTCTTCACTCTCAAGTGTTCCTGTTTTTCAGAGTGTTACTTTTAAGAATGTCTCCACAACATCTTACCTCTCTCTGGCCTACTATGATTACAGAACTTGTGAGTTAATTTTAATGCAATCTAAATTATAAAATTATAACTCTAAAATAAGCCTATTACTGACAATTTTACAACTGAAAATAGCAAAATAAGCCAGATGCCACCTCTATACAGCTTAAACTTACACATATGCAAGCAGTAATTCCTCATGAATCTTTGCATCATCTGATCTGGTTTAATTCAGTGTCTTCACTAAATTTTTCATTTTTCCATGACTCCCAGGCCTGGTTCCCACCTGTAGCACCATCTCCTCCATTATCAGAGATGGCTTAGATAGATTTAAATGACTGACATGTCATGAAGCTCACGCTTGACATGCAGCTCCTACCCCAGTTGAGCTTGCCTCAGAGACACACACAAAGCTTTTATAAATGTTCAAACAGAAAAACCTTCCCATGTCCTATCACACTAACCCATTTCCTTCCCCCAACCATAGCCAGTCATCCTCACCCGAATGACTTGGGGAGTTGGGGGGTGGGAGAACAGTAAAGAAGAGGAATCTGAATCTCTGAAAACCTAGCATTTAGAAGATGCCAACCAAGATACTGGCTTATATATTTTTTCTTTTGTTAATAATGGACTCTCCCCCCCTCACCCATAATCCCTGAAAACAAAAGCATGCCGCCTTCTCAGCTTTGCCAAATGCTTGGTAAGGCTCTGAGCTAAATTTGCCGTTTCCCTGTAGAAACTGAAGTATAATTTAAGATTCTGAAGTTGCAGCCTAAAATTTGTGTTTACATTGATGAAAGTATAGCCGAAGGAGAACCTGAAAGAAAGAATATATATCCAGTTTAAATAAACATTTGACATTTATTCCACGGTCTTCAGGTACAAGTATTTTTACTGATGGAGCAGGAACTCACTGCCGACGAAGATATTTCACGGTAATACGTAATTCATTTCAGTATATTCTTGTGCCTCACATCCTAAAATCATCCAGAATGTCACAACTGAGAGAATATAGACACTGTTTTATCTGAAGACTATACATGTAGCATACTGTTATTTACTTGAGCCTATTTGAATATTATATGTTGTCACTCCTAACCATTTTAGATTGGATTAAACTACCAGTATTCATGGCCTTTGATCTCTAGACACAAATTTAGTTTAAGGCAGTTCAGTATTGTTTCAGCTGCATGAGCCATGTTGGTTTAGGTAGGTCAGATTTATCCCTGAAACGTGCAGCACAACCTGTTACGGCAGGTAGACTGTAACTAAGGTCCAGATCTTCTCCAGTGCTCACAAATAAAGTTCCATAATTATATTCTTTTAATGGAGCTGCTTATTAATGTATAACTAAGTATATTTTTATGTAAGAATTTTTGAACAAATAAATTTGTGAAGTCTGAGACATTCCTTGAAGACTGTATGGTACTGGATGTTTTATTCTTCAGTGCTAGGTGAATTTTTTTTTAAAGTCCTCTGTACTAATAACTATTTCTTGTTATAGAAAGTGCCCCCCAACCTTGTATAATACTCAGTAGTCGGGAGATCTTAGTTTCATAGTCGTTTGTATTTTTATATTTCTTGTATTTCATGAGTGTAACATATTCTGTATTATTTTTATTTTCTTTAAAGAACAGTGAATTTTTGATTGGAGAACGGAAAAACTAATCTAGTCATGACTTCATTTAGGAATTAGTTGTCAGATAATTATGAAAAATATTAGCTGCTACTTTGAGATTTTCTAGGAATTGCCTATTAGTGAAGAGGTCCGGCTGCTAACAGCACTGTCTCCTGCTTCCAGGACTTCAGGCCCCTCTGTGGCTGGTCTGGAGACAACCTACACAGGAGGTAATGGCTTTTCTACTTCATATAACAGCCAGCGGTGGTTGAACCTCTATCTCTCTGCTTGCAAATTTTTGGATTTGGCTCTGGCATTGCCCTCAGAAAATCTTCCTCAATTTCAGATGTAAGTAAAAGCAAGACAATCAAAATGGGTATTATTTTAAATGCATTTGCTTTGGTCACTGAAATCTAAGCCTAATAAGTTTTTGTATAAGTTTAAAATGTTCATAATTTTTATTAAAATGCAATTGCTTTGGCAGGGATGGGACAGCATAGTTATTGGAAATAAATGGTTGTTGTGAATATATTAACATCATCAGACCATTCAGTTAACAAATTTGAGTACCCACTGTATATGAGGCAGGAAAGGGTACATGACTCCCCAGCGTCAAGTCCAGTGAAAAAAATAAAAAACAGGATAGGTGTTCCAAAAGCTGACATGCAAAATGCTGTAAAATGCAGCAGACGCGTCCTCCTGGTTTTGATGGTCACAGCTGGCCCTGAGGGAAGTTTTCTACTGAAGTGGTAAAGAGAGAGAGTTGCAGAAGTTGCATGTATGTGGAGACTCAGAAATTGGAGTAGAGTTGGTATATCTGGTGTTGAAAAATCCATATTCCTGGAGAATGTTAAAAGGCTGCAAAGAGACCAAATTATGAAATGGTCTGTCTGCTGTATTAGAGAATTTGTATTTTAATCTAAAGACCATTGGAAGCCATTAGAGATTTTAAAGAATGGGATGGTATTATCAGACTCACATTTTAGAAATTTTACTTTGGTTGTATAGTGTGAAAAAACGACTAGATGGACAAGAATGGAATTAAGGGCCTCCCTGTTGGCCTGGGTGTTAAGTCTCAGCACTATGACCGCCGTGGCCTGAGTTCTATCGCTGGCCAGGGAGCTAACCCACATAGGGCACAGTAGACCTCTCGTGGCTAGCCTGTTGCTCCTCTCAGTATTGTATTTATTCTTCTGGAGTAGAATATTAATGGGATAAAGAGTAAACTTAGAATCTTCTTCCTGTATTTGAACATGATTAAATCTTCAAAAATTGATGTCTCACAAGCTTATTTTTCATCAAATTTAATAAGAACTAGAATTTTTTTTTTTGAAATTCCAGTCCCTTCAATTTTTCTTTTCCATTTGAAAACCATATATATCTACTTCTTGATGAATTTCAGCGGTTGGGTATCTATTAAACTGATGTTACTCCCAAAATTCAGAAAAGGATACTAAGCAGATTGGTAGGAAAGTGTCCAAAATGAATTAATGACAGAAACTGTACTCTTCAGTGCTCTAGGAAGAACAATTAAGTAGTATTATCTCATAGTTTTGACTTTTTAGTTTCCATGATGAAAACCAAAATGTTTCTCCTTATTACTAGTCAATATATAGTGGAAAACAGATGAAATATGCCATAATATTAACTAGATTTTTAAAAAAAAGACCTTTTAAGAAAAAGTGTATACAGAAAATAACATGGAGAATAATTTTAAAAGTAATATTTTGGTAGGCATATTTATATTTTTGCAGTTCAAAATATTTGATAATACATACAAAGCTAAAATATGCCAAAAAATTTAAAAGGCAGCAGAGAGTTGGTGAAATATTTCTGTAGTGTATATGAAAAAGTATACCTTAATAGAAAGAAATCAATACCCAATAGAAAAATGCACCAATGAGAGAGTTGCTACTTCATAGAAAAGAGAAGCATTTTAAACAGGATAAGGTGATCAGCCATATTGATGAGTAAAACTAATTAAAATTATAGGTGACCATCAGAATGGTAAATATCTAAAACTGTATTTCCTTTTTTACCCTATATAACAGAAGTAATCTTACAGGAAGTGTACTTTGATATTGTTCAATCGTTCTCCAAAGCAGTTATATTTAACAAAGTTCAAAGTACAAGGATCTCTTTAAACCAGTAATTCCGATAAATCTGAGGATTTGTCTTACCACTATACATTCAGCTGTGTACAGAAATCAGCATTAAGCAATCCATATAGTATTATTTATAATAGCAAGAAATTGGACAGTCTAGGAGACTAAATAAATCTGTATTTTCCACCACTATGTAGCTACAAAAAAAGCTGTTATCTCAAAAATACCTAATTTAAAACAGCCATCTTTTTCTTGGTCCAAAGAGGAGGGGATTGGTTGTGTAAATGAGTTGCTCTTTTATTTGTACCCTCTGGATGGATATGCAAAAAACTGGCAACATTAGTAAATGTTATGGTGGGAGGGAAACTACCTTTCTTTGTATGTCCTTTTAGCGTTTGAATTTTTTCCATATATGTTTTGTCAAAAATAAAGAAATATGGAAGAATTCTTAAATTTCCTTAAATAATTTCAGTTCCTTGCCCCCTTACTGTTTAGTTAGGAAACATTTTGCCAAGTATATATTGGAGACTTTGCCTATTAAAGAATGAAGACAAAAACATTTGTTGAGTACTTGCTTTGTGCTCGAGAGAAATGAGCACGTTGCAAATTTCATATTCATTTACACATTTAATCCCATGAGGTAGCTAATATTTATTTACTAATGAAGGGCTCATACTAATACGACCAAAATAACAGGACTACAAACAGCACAACTGACATTTGAACCTAAATGTTGGCGTCTTGCATGATCTTTTATGATGTGGCCTTTTCTTAGTTTATCTTACTGACATTGATTTCATTTTTTATACATAGGTACCGATGGGCATTTATTCCAGAAGCCTCAGATGATTCTGGGTTGGAAGTCAGGCGGCAGGGTATACATCAACGAGAATTTAAACCTTATGTAGTACGACTAGCAAAACTTCTTCGGAAAAGGGCAAAGGTACTGCATTTTTTTTAAAAATTAGTTTTTATTAAGTGTGTTGATAAAATTTGTAGAATACATTTCATCACATTTTTCATACTTTATCTTTCAGTATGCATCAGGCTAATTAACTACATATATTTGCCTGACAAATAACAAATTTGACATGCTCCCCGGGCTTTGTTACAAATCCTTATTTCTTTGCATTCAAAAAATTTCAAAAAATTGTACAGTTTTGGGACAATGTGGGTTGTTTTGTGAATCCTAGCTTGCAATATGTGCTTTGAGTGCTCAGAAATTTTCCAGTCTTCTGGGATTCCCTAATCAGGTAACAGCTCCTAAACTACATTCCACAAACTATAGAAATGGAATGAAGTAATTGAAGGATATGAGGAACCTGAGTATAAAATCAAGGTTTTGTTTTTTTTAGAGACTATGTAAAAGGACAGAGGAGAACATGAAAGTTGGGCCCAGAGTTTAGACTAGGACTTGGCTATTTTCATGTATAACAGTTTGAAAAAATAATCAACAAATCCAGAAGCAATGCAATTGTGTACGAACCCAGAGACATGTACTTTCTCTCATCCCCCGCATCTCATTAGAAATGAGTTTTTCTAAGACCTTTCTATTACCCCACAGAATAAGGAAATCATTTTGATTGGAAAACATTTTCCCATGCAAAACACTTTAAACAAGGTCTTCATGACCAAGCATACTTTTCACTGGAACAAATGAGTTCTCCTCTTTCCTTCCACAGGACAAGGAGGAGGACTTTAAGACAGTGATTTTGGAGGGATTGGAGATGGCCAAGCATCAGGTGAGGGTGGCTTTTTGATGCTTGTGATATGGCAACAAATGTTGCCACATCTGGACTAAATATCGAGACCAGGTCTGAATTTCAATAAGTGTAACAGAGGTAAACAGGAAGGGAGTCCTTTCAAGTGTAGACTGGTGAAATGAAAGGGTAAATCATTTTAATAGAAACATGTTTGACATGGTATAGTTTTGATTAAAAGAGCAGAAACACCAAAATAATTGCACTCTTCTTGGTCAAGAATTTAGTAAAAGTCCTTCTCAAGGGTAAATCCTGAACGGATTATAAAAAGATTATGCTTTAGTTCTCTTGCATAAACTATGTAAGAAGTTGAGGTATCTTAATCATTTTCCTTCATAATAAACTTACACTGTACATTTTATTATTGAACTGCAGTTTGACTTAGGTGGTATGCTCCACCAGTTCCAGTGATGTGAAAGCTGATCCCAAAACTGTCAATAAAAATGGCTTAAAATCTCTAATTCCTAAGACATGATCACAATTGTTTCCCCCTCTTTTTGGGGTCATAAAGAACTACTTTCTTTTTTGCTTCTAGAGTCTTCTGTTTTAACTAAAACCTATTTTCCTTTATCAGGACTTTAAAAAAAGCAAACCTTGTGAACACAATTAAAAAAAAAAGCTGGATTTTGCTAGTACTTTCTCCACTGGGAAATTATTTGGTAAACAACACAAGCTTCTTGACAATGTCGGATCTTACTTAGAAGGCAAATTCCATTTGTAAATGAATATGGCAGGTTGTAATTGTTTCCTAGGTCCAACTAAATTTTTTTCCCAATTTTCTATGTAGTTCATTGTTTTCATATCTGATTCTGTCCACAAACATCTTTAGTTCTCATAACTCTCTTACAACTGTATTTCTAAATCAGTTGTGTTAAACTAGCCTCTTAGTATATGTTATGTTTTTATTTAGTTTACGGTTTTTAAATACATTGTCATCGGACTTTTCTATGACAAGGTGGATTGTATTTATTTTGGAAGTGAAGAACCTTCCTGTATCTTACCCAAGGATGCCACATAGTAGGTTAATTGAAGAGCCAGTTGACTGTAGGCCCAGCTTCTCTCCCCATGTTGTTTTCACATCATCAAAGCAGATAGCAGTGTCTCTCCTGAGGGATCATTTTCTTTCTTAGTGCTGCAGTGCTTACAGTAATTATTCACTGTGGACCCTGCTTACCATCTTATGGCAAGTTTAAGCCTAAAGCTTAACATTAAAAGGGAACTGGGGCCTCCCCAGTGGCGCAGCGGGTTGAGCGCTGCGCTATGAAGTTGTCTGCAGCCTCTGCAGCCGCGGGTTCAATTCCTGGCTGGCCAGGGAGAAACCCATATGGTGGGGCAGACCTCTCCTGCCTCGCAAGCTGTTCCCCTCAGCAGTATCTTCTCTCTGTCTGACTGTTCTGCTCCCCACTGTCTCTGGTGAATTCTCTCACCCTCCTGCGCCTCTGACTGTACCCCAGTACTTGTATAAATAAAAATAAATCTTTAAAAAAATAAAAGGGAACTGTAATTGAGTCCAGGAATCTGGGAGCTTTTTGAGTATATACAAAGCACAACATAAACTTTTATATTTGACTCTGCTCAGTTTACTTATGCATTCTAGGTGGAAAATACTACTTTAGTGTTAGACCCTTATAGTTACTAGTTGGCACTAAAAGGCCTCAGAAACAAGAGTTTTAATCAAGTCTGAAATAAAGACTTAATGTCATCCTTTATATTCATTTCCTAACTCTGCTGACATTGATCTTTTAAAGTTTTCTCATGTACAACATCATCTATTAATTACAATTCCCTTTTTGTCTCCTACAGAAAAACCCAGAGGAAGACAACTCAGGGAGAACATTGGATTGGGAACCAGGGCACTTGCTGCTCACCATCTGCACCGTACGCAGTATCGAGCAACTCCTGCCATTCTTCAATGTGCTCAGCCAAGTCTTCAACAGCAAAGTCACCAGCCGATGTGCAGGACACTCAGGGAGCCCCATCCTCTACTCAAACACCTTCCCTAATAAGGACATGAAACTGGAAAACCAAAAACCATTTTCCAGCAAAGCCAGGCAAAAAATAGAAGAGATGGTAGAAAAAGATTTTCTGGAAGGGGTGATAAAAACTTGAGCACCACAAGTGGTATCTATCCATTTAGCTTAAATGTAAATGTAATTATTTAAAACAAACATTGCTCTGAGTATAGTTTTTTTTTTTTTTTTTTTTGTATGTAACAAAATGTTTCAGGTTGTACTTAATTTAAATATTTGTAAATAAGACCAAATGTCTGAATGTGGCCTGAATCAAGTTTAAATATTGTTGGCTCTCATTGATTATGGTGCCTAAGAAAGATCTATATATACATATATACAGTCCATTGTTTCATTGTCCTCAGTTGTCTTAAATCTGCTAAATACACACTGCACCTTTTTTCTAATGGTTTCAGGCTTTAATTTAGATTGGGGATGCTTTTTCTGTTACTCTAACATCAGAATGGCATCACTTCTGTCAGAGGCTTGGTAAGCTATTACAACTAGCTTTCTTCCATTTACCTTCACTAAGGAGTATAGAATTAAAGCCTGGCATCTCAACACAGCCTCCACATTTGCACTTCTGAATTTCTAATATTCATTGAAGAGGTAAGTTATTCAAAAGTTGAAGATTCTGCTCTGGAAAAAAAGGTGCTATGTAGTCTCTTCCTCCTCTACTTGTAGTAACAGTGAGGGAATACGGCAAGACAACGTCCTGGTTAGGTAATGGCAATGGAATAGACAAAGGGAATTGGTAATAAATAAGATTTAATTTTTCAGCAATCCTTATGCATTTTTTTCCCCCGCATACAAAAATCAATGACTGAATCATATTTAAGCCCCAATATCTAACATTAGGGAGACTGAAATTGAGGTAAGTTTCATTTTAAAAAACTGAATTTAACAAGTGTAAGACGTACCTATTTCTAAAGAATTATTCTGGTAGTGTTTAAGAAAAACAATCAGAACAATCCAGTAAAGTCACTGACTGTAAACATTAGAAATATGTTTGGACCAGACACAACAAGGACAGTACTGTTACTCTAAAAACCACTAAAAAAAAATTTCACTTGTCTTCAGAAACCTGGTGAGGGTCTTTCTCCAATTCCTCCAGCCAGCTGAAATACTGCCAAGCTCACTTCATGTGCAAGGCTATCCGCACTTTCCTGCAAATTAGTTAAAAGGAGACTGAGATGAGAAAAGCACAGCACCTACCAAGTGAACTGCAAGTCTGCGGGAGGAAAGGGAACTTCCTGATTTTGTAACATATTGCAAGACAAATAGACAGAAAACGAGGCTAATTCAGGTAAGTCCTCAGTTAATTAAATCAGTGATAAAATTATTCCAAAACTCTGCAAGAAGGCTACAGTATGACTAAGTAACTTCAAAAGTGTCAGTTATCGTCTTATTCATCAAGGCTATTATATTCTGGAATGGCCTAAACTTCTGCAAGAATTAAATAGTTCCTTTTGATTCCCTACCTATTTAAACACCAAACAACTCTACTTTGCTTGTGCAAACACTTTTGTTAAGGGTTTAAGAGTGCATATTGAGGGCACAAATAATAAAAATCCAGACCACACACAATAGAATACTATTCAGCATAAAAAAAAGATATCTTTTTCACTGAGTTTATCAGATAGTTTCATGTATATGTGGAATCCAGAGAAACCAAAGGATCAGAGAAACTTTGAAAGATGACCATAGATATGAGACATCCAGAGGGGTCTCATGTACAACAGAAATAAACACATTCAAAATGTTAAAAAAAAAAATCCAGGCCACACTCTTTACCCTTTCTAGAAAAATAGCATAGGCTATCAGATATTATTAAAACATATCTTGTCTAAAGACAGAATTTAAGCCCATGAATGATACCAACTGATTTCAAAATGGACTCTTCACAAAGCGAGAGGAATTTTTTTTTTAAGGGTAATCCATGTTCAGCTACATAAATTAAATAGGGCACTTTCAGGTAAGACATTAAAATAATTACTCCTGCCACCCCCACTAACCATGTTATTAGACTCACTGCATTTTTTTTTTTTAATAGAATTATCCCAGCTTACTTGGGAGTCTGCTTCTGCATATACTCGGACTATATCTTCTGTCCCAGATGGTCGAACAAAAGCTCGAGAAAGCCTGTACTTCTTCACCAGGTCATTTATTACCTCCTGTAGTCCCGGGGGTGTAACTGCTCGTCTCTCAGCATCAGTGGTGCTAATAACTTGCCTGTCTGCAACCTACACACAACCATTTCAGTTATCACTGCACTTCCTTTCAGAAGCTTAGCTTGTTCAACATATTTCCCACCAAGATATTATTGCCATTTCATTTTAACAGACCTACATTTCAGTTTATCATACCAAAGTACAGTACTGAAATACTGAAGCATGAGCCTAAACATAGAAGTTTTTGTTTCTGCCAAAATGAAAGCTATTAATTTTAACATCCATATAGCTTCTCATTTTTTCAACCTATAAAGAATTACTTTTTGCTAACATTTCCATACTTTCTTAAAATTACCACTGAAATAAGGACCAGTAAATCCTGTATGGTTTAGTTGTTGATCAAGTAACCCTAAGTATTTAAGTATAAAGAAGAAAAGTTAAGGTGGTCATGGTAAGAATCTCCTCTAATCTGAACAATCAGCATTTCTGTGAATGCCACTGTTCCTATTTTTCACAGATGCTGTTGGCAAACATATAAACTAGTGTAAATCTGTATTGAAATCAATTAACAATTTATCTAAAATGACTTAAAAATGCTTTCCCTTTCAGCCCACAGATTCTAGCCTAAGGAAGTACCCTATGAACCAAGAATAATGTAAGCAAAATATTTTCAGTGGAAATCATGGGCTATCAGGGATTTACTTCAAAATAATATGAGAAATATTTTATTATCTTACAATAGAACAGTTACGAACTATCCTATAAAGATGTGAGAAAATAATATAGAATGAAGTATGACACTTCGGGTTTTAGTTGATTTTCTGAAAAGAATTTTAAAGTCCCGCTCACACCTTAACTTTGAGCTGTCTGTTTGGAAGATCCGTGTAGAGTGCATCCCACTGTTGTACGGTCAGTCCCTTTAGAGCCAAGATTGCCTCAATCACCAGCATGTCAGAAATAGCATCACCAGTTGCCTACCAGGGGGAAACACATGGATGAAACCACTCTAATACAAGCAAAGCTTGGAAGCAATGTTGTCTGCTAGAAAAGCAATCATTATCCTGTGCCTTCCCCTCTCCCCTCATGCAGCATTGGAGTGTGTGGATAAATGTCTATGGAAGACAAACTAGCTCTGTGGAAAGTTAACTTCCACATCTATAAATGAGATTATATTGGTGATAACTCTTAAGGTTATCCACCTAACATCCTATTAACTCAAATTTTTCATTAGATACCCTTTGAAATATGTCAAAAAAAAATCATTCATTGAAAAGTGGAGAAATTAGGACTTTTGGTATAAGACACACCCAAAGTTGGAGCTACATTCCATCACTCTGTTGCTCCAAGCTTTTGTTTGCTTATAAACTGAGGAATTATAGCTAGTGCCTGTGTTACTACAAGGATTACAGCGAGTTATCTAACACGCCCAATATGTGCAAGAAGCTCACAGTTCCATCACTACAATCCATACTCCACCTTCCAGTCCCAACAATGTGACATACATATATGTATATGTCCTTTGTCAGAGAAAAAGAACAATTTTCTTGAATTTCCTCAAATAGGTTGGCTTAAAAAAATATTTACCATATTTATATTCACAAACACACTAAGTAGCTCAATCGGTTGACTAAGTAAAAGCTACTCATTATTGTTTTCATCACATAATGTATGGGGAGAGAAGCACATCACTGCATTCAAATCCCAACTGTACGTGCCACTGCTACAAGGCACCCACCAGGCCTTCCCACTTTAACTTTGGATACAGCACTTATTCTGCCTACATTGTGAATAATGTAGCGATAACCACCTGCCTCTGACCTGGTTAATCAAGTCAATGATGTTTTCAAGCATCCTAGCAGCTTTTCTTTTATTATCTTCTAGGTCTTTTGCTAGTTGTCTTATCTTTGTTTCAGCAGCTTTACTAAATAGTACCTGCAATGAAAGCATATAAAATCACCAAACACAATCCAATCAGCCCAGTACTATCACCATAGCTACACTACTTTTGAAAGTTTCAATCTGGAGAAACTGAGGAGGAAAATGGGTGCCTCAGAATACTATGGGGGTCGGGGAAGGGCAGAGGGAAGGAGTTCGTTTATGGATTATAAAGCTGCCCCGGCCTCTGCAGCACCGGTTCGATCCCCGGCTGCTCCCTGGCCACCCGGAGGAGGGTCCCACATGGCACGCAGACCTCTCCTGCCGCCCGCTGCTCCCCTCAGCAGTGTACTTCGGTCCTTCTGCCTGCTCTGCTCCCCGCTCTGGCGAATTCTCTCACCCTCCCGTGCTTCTGACTGTACCCGGTGCATGTATAAACAAAACAAATAAATAAAACATGCCTCTATTAAAAAAAAAAAGAAAATGCTACCTAAGCAAAAGTGAATGCACACGAGGGTTCTGTTGTTTGCCCCTCAGCCAGCTCAATCATTTCTGTGCAACTAGACTCCTTCAGCCCATCTGTCTCCATTGTTTTAAAGAATGTTTAATTCACTGCACTTAGCTTTCCTGTCCTACCCTTTTTAAGAATATAAGCTAGGTAAAAGTAGAAAGAAGGTTCACTGTATTTTCACACTACGGCATGGATACATATCATTTCCCTCAAGATTCCTGTCATTTTGAAATTTGTTGCCCATGACTTAGAGAGCCCAATATGAGAAGAAGCAAGCACCATTACTCTCAGTCATTGCTGGAATACATATTTGTTGAGAAACTAAGACTGGTCATGTGTTTTACCACCATACAGCCATACCCATTTATTCACCCTGCAAACCACTAGAGTTGAGCAGTTGCAGCAGAGACCTCACGCGCCATGATGACTAGAATGTTTATTATCTGATTTCTTATAAAATCTGTACCAACCCTGCATTAGGTCACTGAAATTATACTTTAATTGCATTTAATTTCTTATATTCCTGGTCTCTAGAACTCAATTCTGAATTAATGAAGATTGACCTAGATAACATTTTCTGTTGGCCACCTCCAGTCCATTTATGAAATGTGGTAAGGTATAAAAACCTTTTAAAAAGAAAAATTCTGAACTTATGTAAATACATAAAACCACTTAAACATTACATAATAAATTTAAGTAGTACATTTTATGGTATGTGAATTACATCTCAATAAAAAACTTTTAATACATTCTGTCTGCTAAGAGACCATAAAATTTTATATGCTTATTGCTAACTACTTCAAACTCATTTCAAGATGTTTTATAACCTAATTCTCAAACTTTCCAATTCACCAGTTACTAACCTTTCCCCTATAGCCAATTTAAGGGAAATAATGTAGACATAATCTGCATTAAGAAAATTAAGAACTACCTGCACATTTTTTAAAGAAATTATTAGAACAAATTAGTATATCTCTTCACACTCAAAGACCACAATCTAAGAACCAAATTCACAAGAGAATATTCTTAACCAAGCGTTCTACCATCATATTCATCATTTCAACAAAATGTAACATTACATATTACTATCCAGATACAGAATTTCCATCATAAAAAAAAGCGCCAGCTGAAGTCAGTTGTTTTAAGAACTTACCGTGCCATGCCCATTTGCTTCAAAATAAACCCCAATGTCAAATTCTTGAGCCTTGTGGTGCAAATGTTTTACACCAGTTTTAGTACAATAGACAGGTACCTATAACACAAACACAATAACTATTATTCAATTGGCAAGTATTTACTCTGCACTTGCTATCCAGTGATAATGGGATAAACCTGAGCTTAATCTAGGGAGGAAGACAACTAAGCAATTACGAAACAAACTTTTGTTACCTGGGTGGACAGCAGACATCGAAGATGTGCACAGGCAAGTGACAAGCAGAGAGGTAAGGGTCCATTTTGAGAAATGAAAGATGACAGCTTGGGAAGTGACATAACTGAATGTTTTAGAAGATTCAAGTTAGCGGCAGAGTGGAGAGTGGCCAATTGCTCAATTCTGCCATTACAGTTTGAAAGTAGTAAAAAAAAAAAAAAAAAAATGCACAAATAAGTGAGCATGGCTATACGCCAATAAAACTTTCCATAATATGGCAGGCCACTGGCACTATTTAACACCTCTGGCTTAGAAGGTTAAAAGGAACAGATGGGATCCCTATCTTGCACCATGCAAAGAAATTAAGCTGATTTATTAAAGACCTGAAATGTTAAGACTTGAAACCATAAAACTCTTAGAAGAAAACAGTCAGTAATAAATTCTTGGTCTTGGTCATGATTTTCTGAATCTGACACCAAAGGCAAAAATAAGTGGGACATCAAACCAGAAAGCTTCTGCACAACAAAGGAAAATGAAGAAAAATGAGAGAAAGCATTTGCAAATTATCTGACAAAGGGTTAATATCCAAATACATAAATAACTCATTTAACTTAATAGCAAAAGCATAATCCAATTAAAAATGGGCAAAAGTCCTGAACTGTTATTTATCAGCTAACCAAAAGGTGTACGAAAAGATGTTCAATATCATTCAGAGCAATGATAATCAAAACCATAATGAAATACATCCTCACACCTATTGGAAAGGCTATCATCAAAAAAAAAAAAAAAAACCAACTGCTCTCTAAGATGTGGAGAAAAGCCCTCCTACAGTGTTGGTAGGAATGTCAAATGGTGCAGCCACTGTGGAAAACAGTAGGCGGGTTTCAGTAGTTTGGTTGTAGTGGAAACCCTAATTCTTTTGTACTGGAAGTGCCTGACTAACTTTGATTGCCTACGTATCCACTTCAAGGAGGACTATCTCCAATAAACACACCACCAATCAAAGAAGTAGATGAAGAGCCAAGGTACTTTTCATCCTCCCACATCCCCCAAGGTCCTTTGTTTTAGAGCTCTTGATTTCATTACCTGATCAGTGTAAGACACTAGTTTTTTTCTTTCTGTGCTTTAAACTCTCCACTCTTGCATTTTAATTCACCAATAAAAAGTTAGCCGACTGAATCCTAGGTCCCCACCTTTAACCCCAATAAAAGTAGAATCCCAGGACTGCACAAGTTCTCTCTGGAACAAGATATGGAACCTAAGTGTTCATGAGTCAGTGGCTGGATAAAGAAATTGTGGTTGTTTAACATTTCAGTCGACATCAGACTGCCTATAGGACCCAGTAGGTTAAACTCTATAGCCTGGGTGTGTAATGACATCTAGGTTGTGAAATGACACTCAGTGTTCACACAATGAGGAAATAACCTAGTAATAACCCATTTCTCAGAATGTATGCCCAAGTGAAGTGATACATGACTGTGTGTGTGTATAAAATGGAATTATTACTCAGCTACTAAAAAAAGAAAATCCATGTGCAATAACATGGATGGAATTTGAGTGTATTATCCTAAGTGAAATAAATTTGAGAAAAACAATGCATGATCCTCTGATAAGTGGAATCTAAAATAAAAAATAGCTCATGGATGCAGAGAACAGATTGGCTAGAGGGTAGGAAAGATGGGTGAAGGGGATCAAAAGGTTTTTTTTAAAAAAACTTAAGTTACTAGGTTTCTAGGATAAATTCTATGAAAGTATGAACGTTGACTAGCAACAGCAGGTGGCAAAAGTCTTGGCTGGATCTGAGAAAGATTTAAGAATGATTAAGGGAAGATTGAGCAAAACTGCAAAAGAGAGATCAAGTAAGATCAGTATTTGGATTTAGAAGACCTAGGAATGACTAGGGCTAAAAATACTGTGTAAGAGAATGGGATGAGAAATTAACAGTTTCTGATGTATTCAGTTTCTTACGAGTGTAATTTGCCTATGGGAAAATTTCAAGACAGAAAAAACTAAAATACTAACACAATAATCCAAGTACTGAGAATTCATGTGAAAAATAGGCAGCCGAACCCAGATGAAGTAAACTTGAGTGAGTTTCCTGTAGCCATACAATTAAATCTGGTCACAAACTAGCAGTCACCAGACATGTTTCACTTACCCATTATTTTAGATTGTCAGTTGCCAAGACTTAAAAAGCAGAAAATTCACATGAAGATTCAGCTCTTTTAACTTCTTTTAGAGACTCTGACTAATGGTGACATCAGCTAGCTTAGCTGCCCTTACCTATCCAACCCACTCTACTTATTCTCTTCACCTCTCCAGATCCTGCAGGAATCTGACTTTGCAATTCCCGCTTTAAAAAATGGAAAGGTAAGAAAAACTAGTGAAAAGCAGGAATCTGAAAAGGAATACACAAATGCTGACAAACGGGTCAACCAGGTGGCGCAGGAAGTTGAATGCAAGCGTTGTGAAGCTGTCCGCCGCCTTTGCAGTGCAGGTTTGATCCCCAGCCCGCCAGGGAGCAACCCACATGGCACAGCAGACCTCTCCTGTCTCACTGGCTGCTCCTCTCAGCAGTGTTTTCAGTCCATCAGCCTATTCTGCTCCCTGCTCTGGTAAATCCTCTCACCCTCCTGCACATCTGGCCTGTACCCCAGTTCTTGTATGTACTAATAATTTTTTTTTTTTTAAATGCTGGCAAACAGATCACCAGCTGGTGAGAAAAAGAGTAAAGTAAAGGCAAACAGATTGAATTTTAGCCACAAACCCTCCAGTTTCTCAGAGCAGGTAATGTGGTACAGAGGAGGTAGAAATACTTGGAAACAAAATTTCCCATTCAGAAAACTTCACAGCAAAGACAACAGTTTCATTACTGAATACACATTAATATACATCACAGACAATCTGCCAAGAGACTGCAAAGCCAGGAAGAAATCTCACCCTATCATATAACTGAAGATTCTCTCCTCTACACAACTTTACTAAGGTTCCTTTCAACCTCAATAGGTCCTACTCTTGGACATGTCTCCAGGAAGCCAATTTTAGCAAGAACCCTTCTAAAATCAGCTTAACCAGAATCCCCTATCCTCAACAGCGGATCAGAGTCCTCATCCACCAATCCCCCAAGTAATACTGATCACCTGGCCTGCCCTAAGCAAAAATACTGTTAGCAGAATCCTCCCTGACCTCTGAAGATTCCTCTGAGTAATTTTCCATCCACTAACCTTCCCCAACACCTTGTTCCTTGGCTATAAGACCCCCTTGTATGAGTTGAACCTGCTCTCCCCCACTGTAAAATCCTAAGGGGCAAACCTATTGCATCAGCCTAGTCTTTAACAAGACTTCACAGCACCATTTGTCAAAAGGACCTTGTCCTACATTTACTTGATATTTAGGGGGCCACTGGTGTTAACTAACTGCCTTTACCCAAAGGAATCATTAAACTTCTCATATTCTGTGACTAGCAGATAACAACTTGGAGCCAGAGATCAACTTTGAACTCTCAGGATACTGGGAGATAAGGGCACTATGTTCCTTGATATTTACAATTCAAAGAGATGCTCTGGCATGTTTATGAAAAACATTCCTGAGCTTTAAGCTGTCTGATTTGATTAAGCCCTTGAAAAGAATGACATTCATTATAAAGGGGAAGAGAGAATTTACAAGTTTTCTGAAATAAATGCAATAAAGAAAGAGGAGGGAGGAAGGAGTCTCTTTCCCTCTTTTATTTGCAACAATTTTTTACTTTTTATTTCTATTAACCTTTATATGGATAATAGTTCAACTTCATGCACAATCTATTTCAACAATATTATTTTCCACACAGATATATAATTAAGAAACTACCCAAAAAAACCCCTAGAAATGCTTCAATACCTTCATAACTTCTTCAAGATACTTTGTTGAACTTCCATTTGCATATGCAGTTTGTATAACACCAATATTCAGATTTTCTCCAATCTAGACAAAAACCATAATTATCTAGCAATCAAAAGTAAAGACATTACAAAAGCAAACAGTTTCAAAGTGTTAGGGGGAAAAGGATGTCCTAAAGCTAATTCCATACAGGCTTTGAGGACTCCATCCCCACCCCAGGCCAAAGCCAAAGACACTGGGAACTCCAAATCCCATCACCACCAAAGGGAAGGTGGCTGGGACCTGAGGGTGGGGTTAAGCAGCCAGGATGGTATAAAGCCAGACTCGTGGGCTTTGGGGGGTCCCCCATTTTGACTCTCTGCCAGCTCGCAGCGTCCGGCCAGCTCGGAGAGTGCTTTTTGGGTTTCCAGGTCGGCGGATCGGGTAGGATGCATTAAAGACTTTATTTCCCTATTTTCTCCCTGAGTTGTACATTTTCCTTATTTCCTTTTCCCTTGTAAATAAACCTTTTATTAACCTTTTGTGTATGCCTGTAGTGGAGTATTAATAAGTCCCTTGTAAACACACGGGTGAGGACCCACAGCCAGGCAACCCGTTCAATATCGGGGCTGCCCTATAACAAAAGAATGATAAAATTATCAGTCAATTCAGCTGTGCCTTCGTTTATGCAATAAATAATTCACTAAAAATTTACATATATGCCAAAAAAAGTTAAATACTTTAGAGCATTATTTAAAATAATTCTACAAAGAATCCTTTTGAAAGATGTCTATAGCTCCTTGATCCTTAATTCCTTTAATAGAATTTATTTTAGTACCTAAAGTAGAACTTTTCCAGATTTTACAAAAGATAACCCGAGCTTCCCAAAAGAGCCAAACACAATAAATCTCTCATGTTACTAATTTCATCATAATCATAGTAAATAAATCTCTCCGATAATTAGATTTTCTATCTAGGCTTTGGAGAATGATAATGAATTCTCATCAGCGATGGTTTCGAAGAAACCAAAACTTCATAAAACTTCAAATCATGAAACTTACCTAAGTAAGAGTAACTTTAGCTTCCAAAACTGGTGTTCCAATGCTGAAATGGTTGGAATTACCACTTTTTGTATTTTGGCCACAGATGTAACAAACTTCCCATAAAATATGCCTTTGAAACACTCCAGTAATTGATAGGGAATCACTTCACCAGTAGGTCTTATTTTTAAAGAGTAGTCATCACCCACTCACTCCCTTACCTCCGAGAGGAGCTCTTTAAGGAAACTGCTAATTAGTGTTGCTATTTTATCTCCATCTATGAGATGAAAATGACCATCAGCATCATGGTAGTAATAAACAATTCTGTCAGCATCTCCATCAAAGGAACAGCATCTCTCATTGCATTTCATTTCCATTCCTAGCACAGAGAATAATTTGATACTCATTTCAGTCTAAGAAACAGGAATAAAACCCACTGTAAAAAATGTTACGTTTTTCCTCTTACACTAGTTACAAGGGGGAAAATTTTTTATTAAAGCCTATCATAACTGGCACCACTTTTCAAAAGGTATTTAAAATGATTCTTCCAAATAAAAAACAATGTCTTAAACTTCAAATAGTTTGTACAGTGTAAATGTTTCACAGCTAACTGAAAAGGAACATTCAAGATCTGTTTATGCTGAAATCTGCTATATTACTAAAATAAAATTCCATTCTATAAGCCAACTGGAAAACAGGTTCCCGTATAATTTTGAAAGCTACAGGTATTTCTGAATGCTACTTACAAAATAATGTTCTTGACATGTAAGTCAACAGATGAAATGATTTTTATTTTGTATCATCAACAAATATTAATAAGAGCAAAGAACTAGAACCTGAGAAATGGCTTGGGTAATTCATAATTATCAGATCAAATTGATTAGAAAATAAGACAGCCCCTAAGCCATGACAGCAGCAGAGTGACAAATTCAACTTGGGAAAAGTTAGGCTACTGACGTAAGATCGATAATGCAGCTAAATATAGAACATCCTTTACTGCATTGGTAAAGGAAATTCTATGGGGACTACACCTGGGGGTGGGGGTGGGGCAAACATTGTTTAAAAATGAACAATAATATAAAAAATATATAAGAAAATTAAAAAAGATGACAGCATTTGTGAGTGGAAAAAAAAAAGTACATCCCTTACTACACCTAGAATCAGAAGACCAGTCTTCCTTCTAAATCCTTACTATAGGAAGCATATATTTTACAGAAAATGATGATTAAGCAGTTAAATTCCCTTTCCATACTGTGTCTACGTTGAGAAAAATAATGTTACGTGGCTGTCCTTTAGATCGATGATTGTTAAGTGGGGTCCCTAGACCCGCATAGTCAGTGAAGTTTGGGCACTTGATAGAAATGCAAATTTCTATCCTATACCAATCCTACTGGGGACGTACAGAATCAGAATGGTCAGGAGTACTTGGCAACTGTGTTATTAAGCCCCTCACGGTCACCCCTGTGATTCTGATGCAAGCTATATTTTGAGAACCACTGCCCTAGAATACCATTTTCAGATTTTGCTTTTCTCACTAGATTTCCTATGTTTGGTGAGGAGTAGACCATTTTTTGAATGGCACTGATAAGTAAAAAGATGCCTGGATGTCTGAAAGGGGCAGAGCCTAAATCAGCTACATGATTAGAATTCCCGTGATGCTACATGATTAGAATCCTGTGGTCACATCTGTTTGTAAATGAAATTGGTTTCAAACAGCTCTAAAAACTGTTCACATACCCTGTGGAGGTTTCTGTTGACTTTTCACAAAGTCGGCCCCACACAGAAGATTGAGTTTCCCTTTGGTTCCATCATTAAAAAGTTGCACTGACAGCCCCTGGGAGAAGTAGCGCTCCATTTCCCTTAACTTCAGGGCCCCTATGCCATTGGCACAGTCCACCTGAAGGGATCTACGTTCATCTCCACTACAGGAAGCCTTGAAAGGGAAAAGACATGAAAGAAAACATTCGAGTTATAAACGAGAGAAGCATGAGGCATATACACATTTAAGCAAATTTCCATTAACTCATCTATTTTAACTCAAGAAACAAAAGGGCACACACAATCAGATGTACTCTCTTACATGAGGAGTAATCTACCATTCTCTTCAGAGCATGTTCCACCACAGGGCATGTGTTCTTTTCCTTAACTATTAGTGTCCTCTCCTCTCCTCCCCATCCTCACCCCAGAATTTAAGTTCTATGAAAAGAGGGCTTCATTTTGGTTAACTGCGCCAGACTATAACATTCGGTGTCTGCTGATAAAAAAGGAATTGTATTCCTCAAATCTCACCCAGATTTAACAAACCAATATATCTAAAAAAGAAAACCTTTCCCAACAATAGAGGCCTCCAGTACACCAACAGCCATAAAGACCAAAGTCATCTAAATGAGCACTTATCATAGCCATAAGCAAGAACACCATAATTTTTGCCTCAGTGATGTCAGAATGTACTACTGCCAAGTAAGCAGCACCAAGCAAATGCCACCACCCACTTGTAGATAGTAGGGCCAGTCCCTAGTGAAGTCCCAAGAAGAAAAGGAAAGACACAGTTCTTTTAAGTAAAAGGAGCAGGGCCTCCCCGGTGGCGCAGCGGTTGAGCGCTGGGTTGCGAAGCTGCCCGCGGCCTCTGCGGCGCCGGTTCGATCCCCGGCTGCTCCCCGGCTGCTCCCCGGCTGCTCCCCGGCTGCTCCCCGGCCACCGGCGGAGGATCCCACATGGCGCGCAGACCTCTCCTGCCGCCCGCTGCTCCCCTCAGCAGTGTACTTCGGTCCTTCTGCCTGCTCTGCTCCCCGCTCTGGCTCTGGTGAATTCTCTCACCCTCCCGCGCTTCTGACTCTACCCAGTGCATGTATAAACAAAACAAACAAACAAAATAAATAAATAAAACATGCCTCTGTAAAAAAAAAAAATAATAAAAAAAAAAAGTAAAAGGAGCAGTGGCAAACGAAGATCAACTGTTCAATTCATCATATGCCTTTATTCCTTTGCTTAAATTCCAACTATGTGTAAGAGATTTCACCTGTTTGGTAAGTTCCATGAAGGCCTGAGAGAGCTTCTGGTAATAGCCTTCTATGGTTGCCTTTCCATACTGGCCACTGGTGTTTCGACAGCACACCATGTAGTGCAGTTGGGGCGTTGTTAACAAGCCATAATCTGTCATAGAAATACAAAAGGCAATTTATCACATTTCTTAACAAAGGAAAAAAAAAATGGACACAGTAGGAATTTCAGGATGACAAATAATCTTTAAAAACATACATCTTAGGATACAAAAAACACTAACTTTCAAACTGTCCAGATGCACAAGCATCCATTACCATATCACAACTGCATATTACACTGTGATAATATGATTTATAAGAAGAAATATATATTTAGTCTTTAAAAAATAATCAGTCTCAATTTTTTCTAAACTAAAACATTTGAAAAGTGATGACTTCAGAGATGCAAGAAGAGTGGTGAATTAGAGTGGCACCCCGGAGATGGTCAAAAGAATAGTCTGGGGCAGGGATCTGGGGATGGGACAGGCCATCTAAGTGGAGGCAGTACTCAGACCAAACTGCAGGCTTTACAAACCGCAGGCCCTAGCCTGTCAGTGGTCAATGTATCTACTTAGTGACAAACAGCATTTCTCCATTTTTTAATGAAATAGACGAATGCACAGCATGTAGCATGGGAATTATTCATTGAAACTTCATTTTCAGTTATACACAATCACAAATAGCACATTACCAAACGTCTTTTACTAGGAGTTGGGCAACACAGTGAAATTGGTGACTAGAGGGCTGAACATAGCAGATTATCAAAAATGATGAATAAATGAATAAATAAAAGAATATATGTAGCTAGAGCTATGGCAGTAAAGACGATCATTCATTAATCATGGAAAATGAGAGAGAAGTGAGGAAGGCCCACACTGGGAGAGATGGAAGAGCCACAGCTAAATAAGGACTAGTAACCAAGGAAGAAGGGTGAAGAATGGGAGAGTATGCTAAGAAAGTTACCAAGACTTCAAGTGAAATAAAAGCTTTATAGGTTCCGAAAGCTATTTTTAGGTAACAGATCCCTCTGAGTATCCGACAAAAGCTATCCTTTCTCTCCTTAGAAAGCGCATGTGGCTGTATGAAGAGGCCCACGGGGTCCCTTGCAGCTTCACCTACACTTTCCAGGGGGCTTGGGCTCCAGGTTAAGAATCCCGACTTTACAATAGTCACTGAGTTAGGCAAGTAGAATTTAAATGACTGTCAGACAGAGACTTTAGTGGAGAGGCAAGGAAAAAGATTTGACCCCAGAATGCTAAGGAATTATACGAGCAAACAATGGGCATGGTTTAGAAGAGGCCGGATTAATTGTGATGGACAAGAACACAGAGGAGCTGGGAAGGAGGTTGAAAAAGTCAAGAGAGTATTTTTTATTCAATGAGAAAGAACTGACACTAGGAAAATACTCAACCTCCAAGCACAGAGGAATCATTGCCTTCACAACGGGAACAGTTGATGTGAGGATTCTAGCCTCCCTTTTGTTGTATTTAAGCCTTCACTTGATTAAACAGGAAAAACTACCTGTCAGCACTTAAAAATTGTAACTACACATAGGCCTAGGACATTTCCCATCACTATCTGACAAGTAACAACTGATTCCACCTGTGAGCGGCCATTAGGGAATTCCTGGGATTGACAAAAGCCTCCCAGAATGAATATCATCAAGTAATTTCAAGGGCTTTTGTATCAGGAAGTAAAGATCAGACTTTCTTACATATAATCTTCTACAGGTAAAGTAAATACATGTCCAGAAAAAATTTAATTGAAAAATTAGTAGTATTTTATGTCTAGTTTCATGTTTTAAAAACTGTCTATATGTATGTTCATGCTTTGTAAAACAACTACTATTGTCGTTAAGTTTTTAAAAAATGACTTCATTTAAAGTCGGGGTAACAGCATACCATGGAATTGACCTCCAAGAGCAGTCACGCCATCTATTACAGACTGGGAAAATTTCTCACTGCTGGGCCTACGAAGGAAAACAAAGAAAATAATGCATCCCATCCTGAACCCAACAGTCACAAGATCTGAAAGTAAAAGCAGAAAATTATGTACCACAAATTTCAGAATAATGGTTAAATCAGGTGTATTTGAACTGAATCCTGTCAATTTTGAAAACTCTGAAGAGAGAATATCAGTAAGCTATAAGCATTTTCAGTAGCCTTTCACAATATAGTTCTTGGAATGATTTGACTTTTTTAATAAATTTAGGAAAGAGATATAAAGGATGCACTAATTACATCATACCAACATATGCACTGCCTGAAACCAGTAACAGTCAACACTTACTGCGCACACCATGTCTACAGATGTAGACATGAGACCACCAAGGACAGGACCTAATTTTCATGTCAAAAAATCAGAATATCTAAAAATAAAGCAGATCATTATGTATCTGCCTTGTAGAAAAAGATGTTAAATACCATTTAAACTAGTTAACAGGTAAGAAACAAATATACCTGGAATGGCTTTACTGCAGGTTAATAATCTGCTCAAGAGCATAAGTCACCTGTCACCTGTCTATTTATAAATCCCAATTAGTGGTGTCTGGAAGTGCCTCTGGAAACACATTAAGGATAAAACAGCAGTCCAAGTCATTAGGAGATTGAGTAGAAATTTCCTTTAAAAATAACCTGGGGTGGGCGGGGCCGGAAGTGTGGGCAGGTGGCCGGTAGGCACCAGCGGGTCTGGGGTGAGCCGGGCCTGGCCAGCGGGAATAGTAAAAGAAAAAAAAACAAAAACCTCTGGAGCCTCCCCTGGTGGCGCAGCGGTTGAGGTTGAGTGCTGGGCTGCGAAGCTGCCCGCAGCCTCTGCAGCGCTGGTTCAATCCCTGACTGCTGGTGAGGGTCCCACAGGGCGCGACAGACCTCTCCTGCCGCGCCCGCTGCTTTCCTCAGCAGTGTATTTCTTCGTCAGTCTGCCTGTTCTGTTCCCCACTCAGGCTCTGGTGAATTCTCTCACCCTCCCATACTTCTGATTGTACCCAGTGCTTGCATAAATAAATACTAAATAAAAATAACCTCTGGAAAAACCAGATCCTATGCAGAAGAGAAATTTTCTATTTCAACGTATACATTCGATCTAACATTTTACAGGTTGTTTTAGTTTAGGTTTTCTTTGCATGAAGAACTGGGGTGTAGACCAGAGGTATGGAGGGTGAGAAGATTCATCAGAGACAGAGTGGGGCACAGAACAGGCAGACTGACTGAAATACACTGTTAAGCAGAGCAGCAGACAAGACAGGAGAGGTCTGCTGCGCCATGTGGGTTAGCTCCCTGGCAGGGGATCAAACTCAGGCAATAGCAATGGTAACACTGAGACTTAACCCCTAGGCCCCCCAGGAAGCCCTTACATGTTTTGGGGTTTGTTTTTTTTTTTAAAGGAAGGTTAAAACCTGCTAACTATATAGAAATAACATCAATTGTCAATGTTTTCCAGCGAGGTCCAGCATAGGAAAATGACATAAATATATAATCCGATACTAACAGGTTAAATCTCTAAAAATAATTTAGAATCAAGTTTTCTTACTCTCTAGGGAAAAGGACCAAATCTAAAGAACTAAAAAGGTGGGAGACATTTAAATGCTTCCCTCATGTCAGAAAAGAGGTATTCTGCCTACATTATTTCAGGTAATCCTCAAAATACCCTTTTGAGACTCATCAACACTGTAGTAGTATTGAAATCCCAAGATGAAATAAGCAGCTCAAATTCATATAGTTTTAGAGTTGGGGTTTGGACTCTAAAACCCAAGTTTCAGAAGTGATTTAGCACCTACATCCTACAAAAAAGACCAGATAGAAGCCTGAGGGCAGTTCCACTTGATTTCATGACTTCAATTTGTCTCAGGCACTAAAACTGCTGCAGCCCTTTACATCTCATTCCCCAAGCTGCTTTCCCCAGTGATGCTGGTCACCTGGTATCTCTACCAATCACTACGAAGGCATCTTGTTGCAGATTCACAGCTTCTTTCTCACTGATGTCCATCAACACTCTCAGCATATTTTGTTGCTCAGCGTTTGTCAAACAGGTAGCATGTTCCTCCCAGGATGGTACCAACATTTCACCCAAAAGATCAACCAATTTTACACCATTGTCTTCCTTAAAAGAAAAACAAACAATAAGCCAGATGGCTGAGTAGCCTCACCTGTTACCAATCTCCCAACCATGAAGGCTGGGCTTTGGACTACAGTTTCACACATTACCAAGGTAAAGCCTCATGCCATGTGTATCAGTTTAACTATTATCCTGTTACTCTCCAATCTTGAAGAAATTAAAGTGAGTCAAATTAAACAAGCTGCCTATGTTCATACAGCTAGTAAGTGCCTGTGCTGTAATCAAATCTATGTGACTCCTCACCCTCTAAGAGTCAGAGTGCTACATTCGTTTTTACATGGCTGTGGTCTCGACATTGGCTTCAATTAACTGATGAGAGCACAACTAGAGCAGAGTAATGGCACCTAAGGTTCCTCTTGCAATGACTGTGGACTCCAAGAACAAACTGGTCAGGTGTTAACCAGTGGTAGAAGAGAAGCTGAAAACTGACAATTCTGCTCCAGTTCTTGGGCAGAGAAAAGCAAGCGTAGTTCACAGTGACTGTCAACTGAAGGAAATAGCTCAGAATTGTTTTAAGCAGTATTTCTGGAACTGGCAAGAAATGTGTGGTTTTGCTGAACAAGTCAGTAAGTAACCAACTACAGTGATCTGGCAATTAGACATATTCACATTTACCATGATTCCTAGGTGGAGGGTGGCCAGTAACGTCTTCCTCTTTGAGGGGGGATGAGAAAGTTACAATCTATTACTGATCTACATAGTTTAACTTGCTGCTGATTTAGCTACAAAAGCAGAAATTTCATGCCCCAGCAAACAGAAACATACTATTCAAACCACGTATAAGCAACCTGCGGGCAGTGCAGAACAGTTAATTTATGTCAAAGGAATACTGTGATAAAAACTTAATTATCACAAACACCAAAACCATCAGCTTCATCAATGTTCAGTGCAAAGCTCACTTGTGTGTCCCTGGAGCCATCTGTTTGGCTGTTCATTCTGCTAGAGAAAACCTATCTGAAAATTTTAAATGTGCCATCTTTTCAAATATTTGCCCTTGTCTCACTCGTTGACTCCAGTCTCTTTAAATTAACAGACTAGCCAGAAAGAAAAAGAAAAATACCGGATGGTCTCACTCATAGCAGGAATTTAGAAAATCTAAATAAGGGACCAGCCAAAAGATTAGTTAATACAAAGTAAAAATCAAAATCAACAAGCAACTATAAACCAGAGGGGGGTGGGGGAGGAAGGACTAGGGTCAAAATAAGTGGCGGGATGCAATTGTATGGGGACTATAACCAAAATGAAAATGCATACATTGTGCAAAAATGAAAAATGATGTAAGAATTATATAAAATAAAATATTAAAAAACCTCATACTGTTGGTGAAAATAAAACATGGTGCAGCTGTTTTGGAAAATAGTCTGGTAGTTTAAAAAAAAAAAATTAACAGACTAGCGCTTTTTATTACTGATACTGTTTCAGTATAACCAGCTTGGAAGAACATTTTGTTATTTCTTTAAAATGGACGCTCTCCAAAATATGACCATCTCATTTCATTCTCTCCACACCCTCTAAGGAGTCACCAATAAATGACTGCTTTCAAGAAACCGTTGCTTCAAATTCTAAGAACATATAAACATATAAATTCCTAGAATTAGAATCTGTACTTTGAGTTAAACTGCTCAGACACTAGGGTTTAGTCTTGTAAACAAAGATTTGCCTTATTGCAGTACTAAAAGCATTACCTCAGGATTATGCGATGCCGTTACCATAACCCCTACTGTAGATTTTGTCTGTTTTGACCTCAGGACAGCTAATAATCCCATTCGAAACATGACATGATCAAGATGTTCTGCTTTTGCTCGGAATCCAGCAGTCCCATATTGAAGAATGAGTCCATTGGGCTTGACATGTAATGCTGAGTATTTGGTAACAGCATCTAAATCCATATCTACAAAATTAAGAAATGTCCATTTAATGTTGATTAATTTAACTTAATATGAATTAATTTGGCTTAATATTAATTACTATTAAGTTAACAAGAAATTTCCAACGACCATTTGCTTCAAATATTGCCACCTTGAACAAACTGGCCTGCCGCGTTCTGAATCTCCCCAAAGAACCATGCTTAATAAAGAAAAGAATGATAGACTAGGCCTGGGGGTTAGCATTGTCTTCTAAGGGCCTACCCAACTAGTACAATGTACTCCAGCGCTGAATGGGAGCAGAAATCAGATTGTCCTCAGTCATCTCCCATTTTGGCTCCAGAGCTGGGGCAGGTTCACTATCAATTCAGGCAGATGGATAAAGGAGAGTCCCGGGGCCCTCTGTGGATTTTTCAGGCTTTAATGCTCTCAGGGAACTATTTACAGCAGTACACCAGGTAGGGAAACTGGCCTGCAAGAAGGCAGGCAGGCAGGCAGGGCCCCCCTACCCCCCACCAATCATCATTCTTTCTCTGGACTCTCTGGCGTTCTCTCTCAGTCTTGCCTCTCTGTAGTCACATGTCTTCCCATCTCTGTCCCTCTAAGTGATGCCGCCCTTATATAGCCCTGGCCTCTAGGCTCAGGTGTGCCCACTTACGTAGGCCCACACCCATGCAGGTGTCCACAATCAGGCAAGCGTGCCCCACATCCAAGCACCTCCCACATCAGCACAATCGAGGCCGCAGGTAACAGCCACAGAGACCAGAGGTCAAAAAGCCTAATTCGCTTACCCCTCAAAGACCAAAAATCACTTCATTGTACAAACAGAAAAGCTTAAGCGTGGGTTTTGAATAGCTTTAATAAATTAAGGCAAAGGGTCAGACCTTCAAGTGTACTGAAAGGACAGATCCAAAATATCTATGATGTCTGTGTGATTCTTCTGCTAGTCCTCTCACACTACTGAGACCTAGCCCCAAAGGAAAAGCACAGAGCAATATCCTCCACTCCCAGACTGCTCAGACGGATTTTTCTATTTTGATAAGGCTCAGGACACCTTCCTAAATTAAACTCTGAAACTGGCAACTTCTTCCTTTTACCTTTAATTTAAAAAATAAAAAATTGGCCCACAGTCTACTAGTACTTCCTTTTCTAGGATATTCCAATTTTAAGAGGAAATCGAGGTTTTCAACCTCTGTTGTACTTACTACTCACTTCCTGGGTCAGTTCCACTACCAATTAGCCAAGAGCTGAGCAGAGAGCCTATAGTCACCAGCCTCACTAAGCTGTTTTATGGTCTTTCATCGTTTCAGTGAACAAGAGTTAAATGGTGGAAAACGTCTGCTTGTGTCCAGTTGGAAAAAGTTAGCATTGAGTAATTTTAATTCTGTCCAAAGTGACTAAATCTCTTTCACAACCTTGAAAACATTAGTAACTGACCAGATGGTGATGTAGTATGATTATTCATAAGGGCGTCAACGAGTCCTGTTAAGTCCACAGTCTATCCCCGCTCCCCCCTCCCCCCCAAAAAAAGTTAAGACAAAATGCCTCCACCCTATTGCCTTTTAGGTCCTAAAACGTTCAATGGACATGTAAATCCCTTTATTAAAAGCGACTTTTCCAGATCCAAACAGTGTCCGCGGTAAGAGAGCGAAGAGTATCCCCTTCACGGCAATTTTCAAAACCTCGAGATTTTGCTCCCCTCTCCTCCCAGCCCCCTTATCACCGCAGGTTTCCTCATCAACCCTGAGACCCGCACCCCCAGGCCGGTCGGCGACCCGCACCCCCGCCGGCCCCTCCTGCCAGCCCCCGCCGGCTCCCCGCGCGCAGCGGCGGGTGGGTGTGCGCGGCGCGCGCTCCCCGGGTCAGCCCGCGCACCCGCCCACCGCCGTCCCCAGCCCCGCGCCCCGGGGCGCCCTCCTCTCGCCACCGCACCTCGGCCCCCCGACCCCGCTCACCTCTACAGGGGGCCTCCTCTGCGCCTCCGCCGCGGGGAGCAGCACCCGCCCCGAGCGCGCCGCAGCCAGACTCACGGCCTCGGAACCCGCAGACGTGGCTTTGCGTGGCTTCCGGCGCGGCGCCACGCCCCTCAGCCAATCACGGCGGGGGAGGGTCCGCAGGCCCCGCCCCCCTGCCGGTGACGCGCAGCGCGTGCCTGCGGAACTGCGGATCCGGGTTCTGAGCGGGCTTGGGGCTGTTTCCATTGAATGACCGGGAAGGGTGAGGCCCCTGCGGCGGCCCGGGGGCTCAGGGCCGCGGGTCGCCGGCCCGCAGGACACTGCGACAGGCAGACACGCAGCCCGCGCTTCCAAATCTGGGTCTCCAGGGGTGGCAGGCGCCCCCTTCCTGGGAAACCGGGGGTCCTAGCGGTCCCGGCTGGGGTGGGGAGGGCAGCCGACCAGCTCGGAGGCCGCAGATAAGGTGGCCTCGCCCACAGCGAGCGCCTCCCAGCTTCCCGCCCCTCACTCTCGAGGTTCATCTCTCAAACCTTTGATTCCGGAAAGCGTTCTGGGGCCCCCGCCCGCACTAAACGTCATTTTATTATTTACCTGTAAGCCCCCGACCCAAGCCTGGGCCCCTCGCAACAGGGTCCAATGGATCCAAGTCGTCGGAGCTCCAAGATGCTGCCCCCGGCCGGTGTGGCTTCCCGTAGGGGGGAGAAAACCATCAGGGAGGGGTCCTTGGCGGAGGAGCGCAGGCTAATAACTGGCGTTGGGGGCTGCGGGGCCCTCGAGACCCGCGAGTCGGAGCGCCCAGAGCCCCGCCCCACCGCACTGCAGGCCTCCCTAGCCGCAGCGTCCAGCTCCGCCCCACCTGAGCTGGGTGCATCGGAAGCCAGACCCCTTGCCTTTCCCAGGATTCTGGCTAGCGGAGCGTCTGCAGGTGTTGTTTGTCAACCACCTGCAACGGGATAATTCGGAACACTTGTTGAAAGTGCAGATTCGGGCTCTAGATAGGGAGCGAGGGTGGGGGGAAAGGGACGGGGACGGGGAATTTGGATTTTAATGAAGTGTCTTGGGAGGTGTGCGTATTAGATTTGGGGGCCAGGAGATAAAGCAAAAGAGTGAAAGTATCGCGATTTGTGTCCCCAGCTCTTGGTGCATAGCTTTCCTGCAAAACGGCTTCCACGAAAAGGGACCTTCGGGAAATTTCTCTGGAAATCGCTGATATTGACAAACCCAGCGTCTGTGGGCCTTTTCAGATTTCCTGACAAATTGATTTCGAGGCAACATGTCCGCATCAGTGAAAGAATGCCTTCAGCTTCAGCTGCTGGAGATGGAAATGCTGTTTTCTATGTTTCCTAACCAAGGAGAAGTAAAACTTGAAGATGTCAATGCCCTGACGAATATAAAAAGATATTTGGAAGGCACAAGGGAGGCGCTGCCACCAAAAATCGAATTTGTGATTACACTCCAGATTGAGGAGCCCAAGGTGAGTGCCCTGAGTTGTTTTAATTGTTGCCAGGCATCCAGTTTTTATTGGAAACACTTGGAACTCGAAGCTCCCTATGCAGGAAACAACTAGAGAATATTCCAGATGCATGTTTGCTTTACTTATTTAAAAGCAAGAAGGATGTCCTTAAATTGTTTTCATTATCTTGAATTTTACATAAATATGCACACCATCTAGTAAATATGCCTAGAGTTTTTACTTAAAACATCTTACAGTCTTATAGACCCATTGTTATTTTGTTCATTCATTCAGTTTTTTGCCAATCCAACTTTTGTAGTATGTACATGTGTCATAATTTTCAGAAGTCTGATGATTGCCTTTAACAAGACTGGCATTTAGGAAGTAAATGGATGTTTCTTTGGTAGCACCATAAAACAGAAAACAAATACACATAGAAAATCTAAATACTGAAAATGAATTTACCTTCATCTTCTGATCCATTTATCTTATCCATTTATCCATTGGCATGGCACAGGTAACATGTAGACAAGGCATTTGAAAACCACTGTACTAGGTATTTCTACCCATCCTACTGTTGTCATTACATCAAAGGAAACTTCCTGAATTCCCAGATTAGATTCAGTTTCTCTAGTTAAACATTTTAGTGGATCCTGTACTTTAAGTGGATCCACACTTGAGTGGATCCAAGAGTGCTTCCCACCATTGAACTCAAGTACATACTATGTGTAATTATGTAAAATCTGTCCATAGGCTCTAGACTTCATGAAAGACAGAAATGGTGTCTAGCGTCTTCATTTTATCACAACTTAGGTTACCTGGCATATGGTAGGTGTTTGATAAATGAATGAATACATCAACGGAAGAAAGAGTGTCTGTAAAGTACTGAGTGCTCTGTCTGGCACACAGCGGACTCAATAGTAATAATAACTATTACATTTATTAAAATCATGCAGTTGCCATTGATAAACCAGCTTATGTGATTTTATGGTACCTCTATCTATTTGATTTTCATTTTAAGGTGAAAATTGATTTGCAAGTAACCATGCCTCACAGCTACCCCTATGCAGCATTGCAGCTGTTTGGACGGTCATCTGAGCTTGACAGACAACAGCAGTTACTTCTGAACAAAGGTCTTACTTCTTATGTAGGGACTTTTGATCCAGGTGAGCTGTGTGTGTGTGCAGCCATCCAGTGGTTACAGGACAACAGTGCCTCCTATTTCCTGAGCAGAAAACTTGTTTATGAACCATCTACACAAGCAAAGCCAGTCAAGAACACATTCCTCCGAATGTGGATCTACAGTCACCATATTTATCAGCAGGACCTAAGGAAAAAGATTTTGGACATTGGGAAAAGGTTAGATGTGACAGGATTTTGTATGACAGGAAAGCCAGGTATAATCTGTGTGGAAGGTTTCAAAGAGCACTGTGAGGAATTCTGGCACACAATCAGGTATCCCAATTGGAAACATATTTCCTGTAAGCATGCAGAAAGCATAGAAACCGAAGGAAATGGGGAGGATCTGCGCCTTTTCCATTCTTTTGAAGAATTACTCCTTGAGGCCCATGGTGACTATGGATTAAGGAACGACTATCACATGAATCTGGGCCAGTTCTTAGAATTTCTTAAAAAACACAAAAGTGAGCATGTTTTCCAGATACTGTTTGGTATTGAAAGCAAAAGTTCCGACTCCTAGGAAGTTATTAAGAGGCCTATATTTATAATTTCACTAAGTCAGTATTTCTGTTAATAAGACCAAAATAAAAGGGCCAGTGGCTGTTCAGTGTCCTCTGTGAGAAATCTAGCTCCCAAATTTTTCCCTGGTAATAAAATATATGCCCTTTGACCTTTTGACAGTGCAGACCTTGTGTTAACTCTGCAGTCTTGTGTTAACTGAAAACTACTGTAAAACAATAAAAAAGTCAATGTAACCAGTGAAGCTTATTTGATTAAAGAGGATTCCAAAGCCCAGTTAATGTCAATAGTCAAATTAGTCTGAACATATAAATATGAACATTTCTCCCTTTCATGAACAAGCCCACAGGTAACACATTGTGTTTTCTTTCTCCCATTATTGGAAAATTCTAACTCAAGTTCAAAATGAGAATGAGAACAGATGTGTACTATTTCTTATTTTAAGTTCAACCCCCTATTTTGAGGTTTTTATTTCAATGAAACTAGAGCCTCAATGCCAGCAGAGGGATAATAATAAAGTCTCAAGAGTGTTTAAGATGACACATAATGCTCTGTTCTTTGGCTGCCTCTTTATAGCATTTGATTAATAACACTAAGGAGAATGAGACTAATATTTTTAGCTCAGTTCTTATTCACAGAAATTTCAGTTCTGTCTACCAAGTGTTCCATGGGCACTGGCACCCTCTGCCCTTGTGCAAGTGTGCATTACTGTATAGGATATAGGGCAGGAGTGTTTAGAGAGGACCAATGCGGTTGGCACCCTCACCTTACTTGGGAAGGAGGGGTACTCAAGCTTGACATTTTGCTAACTCACAGCCCTCTCCTAAAAATTCCAAACTCTCCAGGCTTTACCATTCTTTTCCAAAATTACTGTATTTTAATGGTGATAAACCTTATTTAAGTAGTTCTTGCCAACACTTTACATCATGCAGTATGCCTCCCCAAGAATTTTTGGGAGTATCATCTGTATTAACAGATCTTCCCCAAATGCCTCTCTGCAGCTTTCTCAGAAACTAGCTTTCTCTACTTTTCTGGTCTCTACTACTGCCCCTTTCCAGGGAAAGCAACCCAGGTACCTCACTAATGCCCTCATCCCCTCAGAAAGCCAAAGCTGGGTGCTGAGATTTAGTAACAGAGGGATTGCTTCACTCCCCATGTTGAGACATACTGTTAGATGCCAAACATTGATGTGTGTGCCAAAGGAGCTTACAGAATGTTTGATGAAATGGTGTGTTCTGATTTTACTGTGTCCAGAATGCAGATGCATCTCCCTAGGCTAAAGTGAAGACACAACCAGTTCAGCAGATCCTGCACTAAGCAGACTCGCCTGACCATGAGGTCTTAGAAGGGGTCTACTTCCTGCCTGTGCTCTTGTTGGCACTTTTCAGGGTACAGCTCACTCCT